GAGACACTGAGGGGTCAGAGACACTGAGGGGTCAGAGACCTGAGGGGTCAGAGACCCGAGACACTGAGGGGTCAGAGACCTGAGGGGTCAGAGACCCGAGACACTGAGGGGTCACACCTGAGACACTGAGGGGTCAGAGACCTGAGACACTGAGGGGTCAGAGACACTGAGGGGTCAGAGACCTGAGACACTGAGGGGTCAGAGACACTGAGGGGTCAGAGACCTGAGACACTGAGGGGTCAGAAACACTGAGGGGTCAGAGACACTGAGGGGTCAGAGACCTGAGGGGTCAGAGACCCGAGACACTGAGGGGTCAGAGACCTGAGGGGTCAGAGACCTGAGACCCTGAGGGGTCAGAGAACTGAGGGGTCAGAGACCCGAGACCCTGAGTGGTCAGAGACCTAAGACCCTAAAGGGTTCAGAGACCTGAGACCTGAACTGAAGGACCAGTATGTCCTCCATCATGATCATCTCAGCAACAGGAGGAGGAGCCTGAGGCTCCAGCTCTGCTCTGCCGTTCACCATCAGCAGTGTCTCAGCGTTGTTTCTGCATGCGGGCCGACTGATCAGTTACATACTTTGGGAGAGGAGCCGCGGGGACGGGGACGGCGCATGAATTAGCGTTCTGGACATTGTTGGTGGTCGGTGCGTGGGTGGAGTCCTGAGCCCGAGGAACGGTCCCCATGCGGTACCAGATTCCCATGTTGTTCAGCTCCCTGCCAGCCAACAGAACACAGAACAGGTTAAACTCAGGCAGAGCTCAGCTTTAGCTGCTCTGGCCTAAAGCTCAGCTCACCCAATGAAGGTGTACTGAGGGGGGGCCTGCTTGGTGCGGCCCAGGATCCGGATGTCGCAGATGGCCGCCTCTGTAGAGTCTCTGGGGATGAACTTGATGCACAGCCGCCTCTTTCTGAAGGCCTGCTCCTCTGTGGAGACAGACAGGCTGAGAGGAGCCTCGAACACAGCAAGCAGATGAAGAAAAGCCAAACGGGTCCTGGAGCTCAGAGGCCTTTGGCTTTGGGCTGACTTACGAGTGTCCACCGTCTCCTGGATGGGGATGAAGCCCACCGGCAGGGTGTCCTTTATATCGATTAGCTTCATGTCTACAAGAACGTTGCCTAAATGGCTCTAGAACAGAGAAGCACATGAGATTAGAGCAGCAACCAACGAGCAGGAGGACAGAAACCAGCACATCACTACGGACGCCATTAACCAATCGTTAGATGAACACAGCCTCTAAGAACCAGCAACACGGAGCAGAAACTGACAAAACCTGCGGCAATACATTTAGTATTTGACATGAAAACCCTTCGTCAGGAAGCACGACTCAGCTAGTTTTAGCTCCGCCCACTTTGGATCCAGTAAAAAGCTCCAGCCATCCTGTTACTAAGCCCAGCATGAATAAACTGACTGTCGCTATCTGCAGCCATAATAGCTGGGAAACAGCGGCCATTTCTCAATTCACAAGAACGCCAGTATGGAAGAAACATCGCCATCAGAGCCAGCGGCCCTTCACACACAGATAGGCAGAGAGAGAGGCGGCCGCCGCAGACGGGCCGACGTTAGGCCCCGGCCGCAGCAGACGGGCCGACGTTAGGCCCCGGCCGCAGCAGACGGGCCGACGTTAGGCCCCGGCCGCAGCAGACGGGCCGACGTTAGGCCCCGGCC